GGCAAACCCGTTATATATAATTAACATCTCCCCAACGCAAAAATACATCTTGATAATACATCATTACATGTTTTTGTAGCAAACTAGTAAGTTGTCAAGAATTGAATTTGGAACACTTGGTGTGAAAGAATTCATTGATGTCTGTTCGTCTACTTTTAAAGGTGTTTTGAAGGTGCTGAGTGTACATACGTATGATGTATGTGCTCATCATAATGGCTATATGGAAAATGTAGGACTGGTTTAGGCATAGGCCTAAGCCTACAGAAGCAGTGAAAAAAACATGGAGATTGGGATTCACTCTCGGTTGCACTACACCAAATACGTGCCCATAGAAAACAGTGCAAGAAATCGGACCGAAATAGTGCCGCCTGTTGACTCTCATGGACAGGTTGGCCGCCGTTTTTTCACTGGAAATTCAAGACTATGGCCAGAAGATCACTTTTCGTTTCAATTTCATGGGGGTTAGCCACGAATTTTATTTTTAATTCGCCTTTGAACGAAGATACCTCCAAAATAGCAGTAAAACTACGTGCTCACTTCTGAATGTAGCTGCCCACCTCTATCCAAAATAGGTCTGCAATTTGGGGCTTTTTGTGAAAGAAATACCCCGAACTGGAAATTATCAGTCTCAAATTTTGGATTTATAGAAATATTTCTATGATGCCTCCTGATTATGGCCTGTCTTATTGAAAAAATCCAGTGGGATCAAAGTATTTATGAGCTCACACGCAGAAATACAACCATTTGATGGAATGCACCCTTTAATATCACCTTGAGGGCTGGGTCCACAGTAAATATGGCTCAAAACGAAGAAAATGTATCCAAAATAGAAAAACCAATTCCAAAAATTGAATACATTTTCTTGTTTTTCTGAAGAAGGGTTGTACAGTTTGTCCGTTGTCACTGAATGCGGCAGTGTTATGTGCGCAATGACAATCTTATTCAGTAAACAAACAGAGAAATCAAACATTTTTTGCAAACTGCGGGACACGGAGAGGAAAAACTAAAAGAAAGAGGATGAGCAGACAGAATTGTTGATTGGCCCTTTTTAATTTTCATTTCCCGGGCGTCCGGGGGAGCTTTTGGGAGGAAAAAATAGGGGGTTTCAGGCCCTCTTCCAGTTGTTATAGGACAGAATAATCAATAGGCCTAAGCCCCTTCAAAGAGACACCGTGTACATTCCTCAGATCGTACATGAACACCCTCAAAATAACCATATTGAAGCAATTGTACAAGGTGTTTATCAGTACTAAGGCCTACAATTCAATAGGCCAAGGCCTACATACACTGTACATGTATAAATTGACAAACGTACATGTAAGTACATTGCATGTTGTTACATGTAGCTCGCAACACATGAATTTCCACAAAGCATGCTCAACAAGTACATGTATATGTAGGCCTAATTGTTTTAAACTTTGCAAAGGTTCGCCATGTTCACTGTGTTATTATTACAGGAACGCCAAGGGGGGGTTTGAGAATATCAAGTAGTTGGCATACATGTACATGTGTGTATATATGTATAAAATATCTTTTTCTCACATAAATGCACTCAACATACATCACAAACATCATGTACAACTGTATGTACAGTACAATGTATGTGTTAGGAACTTTTCATTTCACCAGTTCTTTGTGTTCAGAATTTTCCGGTTAATTTTGAACCCTGGTGTGCATCATATGCAAACAAAGTTTGATTAACATTGTACTGAGGGAGAAAACTCAATAATATACCATTGAATTTTGGAACAGATTTTTGCCCCTTAAAGTGGTAATTTGGGAGCTTTTAATAATAAGTTACAGTTTTGACGCGCCCAAGTTTTGAAATGCTGTATATACAACAAAATCACAAAATTAAAGCAGGGTTTTGCCCAGGATGGTTTTAGTGCCAGCAGGACTATCTAAGCGGAGCGCCACCATCGGTTAGTGCGGAGCGTACCAGA